CAGTCATGGACACCAAAATGGCCTCAAAATTCAAAATTTCTTTTCTAACATTTTCAATCCATTAATTACTAAAAAAAAAATTAAGTAAGATAATGTGATTTAGTGGATTTTGTCTCAAACCGCGATTACGGGAGATACGGGGAGGGGCGAGAGGGCTACCAGATATCCACTTTCGACCTTGATCACCCAAATAGCCTCAAAATTAAAATTTTCAATATTTTTTTTAATTCGATAAATATTAGTGGATTTCGGCTCGAACCTTTGCAGTGCTGTTTTCGGCTTTGCGCATTTCCTGCTCATATCGTTTCTGGTTCTTTTTCCGTGCTGTTTTTGACGCTGGTTCCCATACTTTTACGCCATCTTTGGTGGTTCGTACCAAAAAATCACCGGTAGGCGATTTAGCAATTAACATCGCCTGGAGTAGCGATCTGAAATATCCGGAATTTGTGAGTACCATCGCTTTTTTTTTCACACTTTTTGCCCTTCAATTAATACCGCATGTAATCCTCTTGAAATCCCCGTAGTCCTGGCAAAATTTCACTTCACCCACGCAATTAGTAACAATTTCAGGAATATTCTGACCAAAGCTATGTGTCCGGGAATTCTGACGTTCGAATTTCTACTATGCTTCTTGTTCGCTCTTCCGGAATCGCTAGAACTCAATCCATTATACAGGAAGATCTAAGGGAAAGGAGGAGAACGGGAAGAGGGAAGGCAAGGGGGGGGGGAGGGGAGCAGGAGGAAGGGAGGGGCACAGGCACCAGTGCTGCAAAAGCCCGGGTCTAAAGCTAAAGTAAACTAAAGCCTAAAGTAACTCCAAGAAGCAGTGTGTTACAACTCTATCCCTAGTTTTTGCATTTTTTCAAGGTAGGGAAGTGGTCAACCCCCGTCGCATCTCCACTCCATGGGGGGTTCACCCTAGATTCGCCTACAGTTCGGTATTTATATAATCTTTTTGGGCCACTTTTTCAGTGATCTTTCGATGAACAGAGGAAACGAAATGCGGTAAATGTATAAGCGAATTCAATAAGGTTGCAAAAAAAGAAAAAAACGGGCGTATGAGTGAATTCGAAAAATTTGCAAAAAAAAAAACTCTAAAATTCCTTGCCTTATTCGTGGATTATCATCAGTTCCGTTCATCGAAAGATCACGTTGCAAATTATGGGAAAAAAACGAACCTCAGCGGCCTCAACTCAGTACCATCGTTGTCATCGCAACCTGTTTCCGGACATATATAGAGCGTCATCCTTATGGCAATGACCTGAAAACTGCTGGATTTTCACAAAAAA